CTGTAACTGCCCTGAGTCCGACACAGACGGGCGGCTCCCAGATTTATGCAGTAAAGATCTGCGCGAGCGTTATCGCCAAGCTCCACAGCGCGCCAAGATAGCACCAAGCTGTAAATCTGCACGAGTGCCCTGCCCTAGTGAACTCGGGCCCATGAGCCAGAACGTGGCTGTAAATCCCCCGGGGAGACCCTGTCGGGGCGAGTTCCCACACCCTGCTGTGATTTACCTGCTGCCTGAGCTGGGTTCAGTCCGCTGCCTTGGCCTTCGTCAGGCCTGAAGCCTCGGGTGTCTGTTAGGCTGGGAAGCCACTTCTACGGGGGGGTGGACATGGTTAACATCCAGGGAAGGAAGCGGAGACAGAGCTGCCGTGTAAATTCAGGGCAGGGAACCTAAATCACATGATGTCCCTTTCTAAAGGGGGGGGTTAACTGACCTCCCCGGTGTCTCAGATAATGTGGTCAGCTCGGCCCCCAAAATCTTCCGAGGGGGCGGTTGGCCAGCCTTCAGTCACACCGCTATATGACCAACATACCTCACACTTGCAGCTTGTCTTCATTTGGGAGGGGCTGGCTTTTACATTCTGAAGTTCACTGGCCCACAGGTTCTGTTTCTGACTTGCTGCTCTTATCCAGGGTCTTGGAGAATTTAGATGTTCAGTTGTCAACAGTGGGATTTGAATCCATAACATACTGTATCAAGCTTATCTGCAATAGGATCACCCTCCTTTTATCCTCCCACTGCCAGGACTGAAATGACTGAAACACCACCCCCCCCAAATCCTCTTCATCCGGGGGGCACAGTCTTGGAGAAGCTACAGGTTATATGGTCCAAGCCATCGCTGGCTCCTTGTTAGCAGAGCGACAGACCTGTCACATTGTCTCCTTTGTTGACACATGCTGGTCCCCTTTTCCTGCTTTTCTTGAAGTTCATGTGAAGCTGGTCCTGAATGCTGCTCTAATTGTGGACCAACACCTTCAGCTCTTCCCATCAGACAGCCCAAGGGAGGAGTTGTCAGGATACAAAATGGCCACCATTAAATTTGTACGTGCTGTAACACAAGTCAATGGCTCATGTTTGTATTGATCTGTTGAATTAATGTCAGTCTTGGGAAGAAATCAGAAGTCGTGTGCCAAGATCCAGTGCCTGGGGCAAGGACTCCACCCACACCTGACTGGCAAATCGGAACTGGCATTGTGTACTTAATTTGGATGCTCTGTGGAGGAATCCCTCTCTCTTCTGGCCCTGGAGGGGACAGCTTGTTCCATTAAGGGCAGCACAGTTTCCTCCGATTTCCGCGGTTGGAAGCTGCAATCCCTTCTCGACTCACTGTGCGAGTTTCCCAAAGTGCAGAGGGATGCAGTTGGGCTAATTGGAGTCTTTAAACTCGTCATACTGTGAGTGTGTGCGTGTATGTGCCCTGTGATGGGCTGGCACCATTATCCAGGGTGTCCCCTGTCCAGTGTAAACTGCAAGATGCATGTCCTGGGTGACAGACAGGGTTCTGTGGGGGGTATTCTGTTCAAAAATGTCTTATGAAGCTGTTCCGCCCCTGATCTGTCAGATTAGGGGAAACTAAACACAACATAGAGCCGCCTTCTGACCAAATCAGAGGTCAGTTAATTACCTGTTAGCACTAAAAAAAAGCTTAACACCGTGTTTAACGCACTTTGACTAAAACATTTTACTGGACAATCTGCATCACAGAACATGCTCAGTATGCCTACTGTGTCAAATGCAGGCACCCATAGGCTGGGCTGGGCTGTCAGTCAGGGCTGTCTCCTGCCCCTTCAGGGCTCCGTAACCAATGACAGGAGCTCATCTGATATGAAGGGCTGCTACAGGTGAGTTCTGGACCAAACCCAAACCACCAAAGGCAAAAATGAAGACCGTCAAGGAGAGTCAAGCCTGCTATGGCTCACGGTTCTGAGGAGGGGGGGGGGTCCCATCACACCTCATGGCCTGGACCTCAGCCAGGATGCTATCGGGTCTCTCAGTGGGCAGGAAATGGGACGGGCTTATTCTGCAGCTATTGAGCACAAGTTGTAATGTAGATTTCATTCCCTTTTCAGAAGTAGTTTTCTCATGAGGTCACTCGGCGAGTGTGTCCGAGGTGAATCTGAATGGTTTGGGGTTGGGTTAGGCATTGGCTGGTTTCTAGGTCTGTGTCTTTGTGGGTCTGTAGGTGTCTAATTTGTGTTTTTAGGATGTAGGGTTAGTGGTCTGTAACTCCTATATCTCTTTAGCTCTCTAGGTGTCATGCAGTAGTCCATGTCTGATCGGAGGGTGTGGGATAAAGTTCACGTGGCATGTTGGCTTGTCAGACAGCCTGACGTCATTCCCGACACCAGGGCGGCGACTGCGCTCTCACAGTGGCCTTATGAGGGCCGCTGGAGTCTCCCTGCCACCTGGGTCACCCCCGCGACTCTGACCCAGGATGAGCACACAAAAAGCTGATGCCTTCGATGCCCTTGGCTGTATCTACCAGCCACCAAGCTGTGCTTCTTCAGGATGTCCTTGAGAGCTGTTGAGGTCACTGGCGTCCTCCCCGATGGCTCATTTTGGCAGCTCCGGGTGCGAAAGATCTTCCTCTGCCCTGGTGGCTGCAGGACGACGTCCTGTCACACCACAGCTCAACCCTGAGCTCCATCCCAGTCTACCCTGGCGTGTACTGGGTACAGGCGTGTACTGGGTATCCAGTTTGGTTTGTCTGTGTACCATGAGAGTTATGCAACCTGGTTTTTGCAACCTCTCTGTTCGTGTGCCTTGTTTGTTATCCAGTGTAATATTCTATTACCCCCACAGACAGTAGTGTAGCGTAAGACTTATTGCCCCTGCACATCATGGTTATTTATGTGTTTAGTTAATGCATTTTATTTTCTTTCATAGAGAAAAAACCTTTGTTTAAATGCGTGCAAATCTTTCAGGTGAATAAATGTGCGGCCGACATTATCACTCATGTTTTCAGAAATTCAGCTGTGTATGTATTTAGGGTTCTGTAATGGGGTGGGGGTGGAGTCTGCTGTAGTGAGGCTGGCCAGGCTAATGCTGCCTGAGGAGGGGGGGGAAGAGGGGCCGCACTCAAAGAGGGGATGTAAAGGCTGGCCAACCCCCAGCATGCTGCGGGGGGGGGGGGGGGGGGAGCGTCAGAAGCCATGAGGTCTCCTTTTGTGAGTCTCTGGGGTCTCCGGTGGCCCCTGATCCTCACAGGAGGGCTGCACAGGGCTGAGAAGTGGCTGTATCCACAGTAAGCGGCTGTAGCCACAGTAAGCGGCTGTAGCCACAGTAAGCGGCTGTATCCACAGTAAGCGGCTGTAGCCACAGTAAGCNCCACAGTAAGCGGCTGTAGCCACAGTAAGCGGCTGTATCCACAGTAAGCTCCCTTTGTCTTTATGCTGAGATCTCTCAGTCCTCTTGTCTTGCTGACTTCGGTAGCTGTTATCTGTGTTGACAGGCTGAGTTGTAGTATGAGTGTTTGGTTGATCAGGGCCGGTCACAGCCCATGTGCAAGCATCCCTTCCCACGGCAAACTCAGCTGCCCGGTTTCAGTTTGTCTCGGACGGTGCGTGCTTGAGGGGGGGGGGATGCCAGAACTAGCTACATCAGCAGTGGCCTGTAGGGTTCACCTGCTTGGTTATGGGAGCCTGAACCTCCCTCCACGCTTGTCTTTGACCAGGCAGGTTTAGGCTCAGCCCTGAGCGTGTGATGATGTCATCACAGAGAGAAAGTGAGGGGATTACCCAGAGTGCTCTACCCCACAGACCACGCCTTCCAGCGAGGTCAGACACCCACCGATATGTCATTCTGGTTGGATCCCTTTCACCGTGGCAACAGTTTAAAAAACAAAAGGAGCACTGAGCATTTTACAGTGCCTTCTGTATTGGTGCACTGGAGGATGGACGGAAATTCAGGTTCGAGTTTTTCGAAAGCCGCGCTTTGTGGCTTTGGCTGTAAGGAGTGGTGAAGTCTGTTAAGGATGCCAGCCTGTATGGAGAGTGTTGTTTCATCGCACAATCTGTAGCATGTTTCGTGCTGAAACAGCGGATCCTTCTGTATTCACAAAGCCAGTTAAGGTTCCTGTTCTCTGGCTGGTACTTGACTATTTTTCTCTGAAACCTGTACTCACTGATGGATTACTTTACCCTGGTACCATTTGATGGATTGTTATTTAATGAATGGCGATGCACGGTAATGGAGTTTTGCAGTAATGTGTTTTTTTTTTTTTCTTTTCGTTTTTTTTAAAGTGATATCATGAACTTCCACAGTGAGAGGCTCTTAAATCTGTCATGTTTCCTTTCTGGACAATAACTAACCCTTCATGCTTCTCTTATCAGGTTCCAGGTCCATCCTGTGCTCCTTTCATTGTTAGCTAGCTGGAAGTTTGGCTTTCTGAAATTTCAGGCAGCTGGTAACCGCAGTTAAGAGGCCGCATGCATAACCTGAAATTCCAGGCAGCCCTGGAATCCTTAAAGCCTTGATGTTCCTGGATAGCTGTTTAAATGGATGAACCATGCCGTCTGTTGTACCGAGGCCTTGGTCACTCCTTGTCACTACTAAACAATCTGAATGTTCTTCATGTTTGGGTAAACCTTAACCAAGCCCAGCAGCAGGCAAGGTGACCAAATAACCAGAGACTCAGCAGTCCTGGCCAAGTCTAGCTGTTGAACCCTTGAGGAAGGTACCTGCTTCAGTCAAAAATCCAGCTGGATGAGCTGTAATTAAATCCTTCTGGATGAACACACCCCCTGAAAGGATGAAGGAAGTAAACTGAAGAAATGACGGTGTTTAAATTTAGAGCATCTAACAGTGTTTTCTTTTGGACTCAGGGGTGATATGTATAGCTGTAATTACTCAGTAGAGCGTGTGTTGACTTTGCGGTGCGGTGGAGCGCTACGGTATCATTAGTCCGCCATGTTCCCCCGCCCCCCGGGTCATACAGAGTACCCCCCCCCTCCCCCGACCTGCTCGCCCTCCTGATTGCTCTCTCTCTTTTGCCCTAATAGGAAATGATGACCAAGCTCATAGCAGAGATGCCAGATCATCCTATTCCATTTCTCATCAGTCACCTGCAGACCAAACACAGCTGTTCAGGGAAGCTCTACAGAACGCTCTCTGGCTCGGCGGCTCTCTGGGCCGAGCCGGGCTCAGCAGGTGGGTCCCAGTGATCCAGCCAGTTCTGGTTCGTTCCAATTGCCCCCAACTTGCGGGTTCACCTGCCTTTTGTGAAGTCATCATGGCAGAGGTGGTCCAGTGAAGCATGACCACAGACCAGACTTTGCTTGAACTTGGTTCTGTCCCGTCTGCCACCTTCATGGTTAAGCGTCGGGACAAAGGCCGGTAAATCCACCATTAAAGCTGTTGGTTTTCGCAGAATCCAAGGGCATCAGACGAGACTTCAGGAGCAACGAGAAGCCATGGCAGATACACCCAAAGAAACCCAAGAAGTCCAAGAGCGACCTCGCTGTGTCGAACATCTCGCCGCCCTCACCTGACTCCAAATCCTGTAAGTTCAAAAGGCCAGGGGCCCAGGCCGCTCTGTCGAGTTTGCACGAGCGTTATGAGAGTCATAACTATTCAAGTTGCACCAAGAATTGCATTATGGGAAATGTACACCAAATCTTGTTATTGACGTGCAAGAATGTTTTATGAGTCCATTATAGGTCAGTCTGAGTGGATGTCTGGGGGATGGTCTTGGCTAGACGTCGTATGTCATGTTTGTTTAGCTCATCATGTTTAGGAACAGGGGCCCAGCCTGTCAGCCCCCTTTTCTGAACGCGGCATGCTAGCAGGACCCTGAACGCGGCATGCTAGCAGGACCCTGAACGCGGCATGCTAGCAGGACCCTGAACGCGGCATGCTAGCAGGACCCATGCTAGCAGAGCTCCTTCATGCATCTCCACCAGTTTTCTCCTAAGCACCCAGAGTTCGGCCTTCATTTTGCTGTTTCTGTCATGGTGCCAAAACGGGTCGAGGCCGATGGGGGGGCAGCTAAGGGCTCATTCCTCATGCCTTCACAGCTTTGAAAGTAGAACACAGCCTCACTTCCCGGTACCCAGCGACCGTCGTGATCAGAGTGACATTCATGACATTCATGACAGCTGGCTTTAGCGTATGTTTCTGGGAAAGCTGGGTGGACATTCCTGTGGTCCTTATCTCCTGCAGAAAGCGTGCGATGCCTGCCTTTGCAGTCGATGTTCAGTGAGGCGTGATGGAATCAGGCATCTCCCCCTCGACCCATTTAAAACCTTTAATTACAAACCAGTAGAAAATGTCTAGGGCCCCCCTGTTCTGATCTGTCATCTCTTTCCAGTGCCTCGCTCCATCGAGCACCCGAGCTGTGACTGGGGGGGCTGTCCAGAGAGCCGCGACTTTGACGAGCTCAACCACATCTTGCAGGAGAGCCGCAAGCTGGGCAAAGCCCTGGAGAACCTGTCTCGTAGTAAGGCCCCCGAACACTGGAACTGCTCAGGATTCGAACCCACAACCCTGGAGGTGTGTGGTCAGCTCTGCTGCCTGTCCGAGAGCAGTTTTCCGTGCTGCAACGCACCTCTGTTTTATTTTGCAGGTATTGCAGTTTCAGTTGAGGTGGATCAGGTAACGTCTGGCGTCCTTGTGATATCTCGGGGTGGGGGGCATTTGCTGGGTTGAGCCTGTTGAGGGCCTCCCTCTGTGCCTCTCCTCTGAGCTGGGGCGGGGGGGGTGGTGAGCTGGTGTAGCTGTGGCAGAACCTCCTCACCAGGAAAGAAATTCACAGAAGAGCTTCTCTGAAAGAGTGAATGCTTTAAGAAACAGTGGACAGCAACACACTCGTCAACCTTTATCTTTTCACCTGGGGATCAGTGAAGTGTACCTTATCAAGCAATCTATTATGTTGAACATTTTCAAATATTTTTTTGTCACTAATATAATACTGTACTTGCTTAGGTAAAAAAAAAACTGTTCAAATCGGTTTGAGCTGGAGAGAGGGCTCCCCTCGGGGTGTCTGTCTGTGTTACGCCCTGAGTTACAGACAGTCAGTCTCTCTGTCTCCCGGTGGGTGCTGGGCTCTCAGTGAATCACATCCACTACATAAAAGCCCCATCCTTTCCCCCGTTTCTCCCCTGACCAAGGGCTCTGCTCAGCGGACGGGGCTCACTGTCAGACCTCCAGTAAGAAGGACCCCTGTTCCCATGGTGACGGCGATGGGACGTACATTGTGCTTGCGTTCGCTAAATGAGTCTGACAGACAGAGCTCAGCATTTTTACTTCCGTGGTTAAGGCCCCGGGCGTCCGCACCCTGGACTGGCACTGTGCCCCACCACATGCCGGGGTTCGGCTTTTGCGTTCTACCAAGTCAGGAATCGCGTGAATTTAACCATCAAGACAAGTTAAAGTTTTAATTCCATTTGGGCACTGATAAGATGCCCATCTGGGTGAACCGTCTAAATGACTGAGGCGCACACTGTAGCCTGAATAGAATGGAGACACTTCTTTCTTTCTTTCCACATTTAGGATGTACAGATAATTTGTGCTGTTAAAACAGAGTAGCACAAACACCCGGCTCTGTGGGACCGCCCCCCTCTGTGGGACCGCCCCCTCTGTGGGACCGCCCCCTCTGTGGGACCGCCCCCTCTGTAGGACCTCCTTAGAATGACCGCCCTCTCCAATAGAATGCCTCCCCCGCCTTCCTCATATGCTGTGCCCCCCATTAGAGGGTGACCCCGCTGACCCATCCCACCACCCCCCAGCAGGACTCCGGAACATTCAGCGGCTGTCTGGTGCGGCCGCGGGTGGTGGGGCAGTGGGCGGGCCGTGAGGATGAGGACGCCGACCCCCTGGCTGCAGAGATGCTGCAGCCTCCGGTCCCTCGCACCAAGACGGAGGGCTGGCAGGGCGAGGACAGCGGCCCAGTGGGAAGGTGGGCGTGACCGCGACCGCGTCTGCATCTGCATGAGTGCATCGGCGTCTGCACAAGTATGACCACATCTGTGCGAGTGTGTGCAGACTGTCAGTGTGTAATCTGTAGAGTGTGATCTAAAGAGAATTACTGCCGGAATTAATTGGACTGCGGATAACGAAGGGGTTCTTTCTGCTAGGGTGATTCTGATTAAACTGGGATTCTGTGGGTGGATGTTGGTGCACGTTTTCACCGTTGTCTTGGAATAAGGTCTTTTCTGGCTCTGTCTGCTGCCTTTCTTGCAATATCAGAGATGAACAGGGAGAGAGACACTCAGCTTTTGTCAGTCCGTGGGAGCAGATGATATGGGGAGGGAGAAAAGCAGAACAGAAGAGGTACAGTAACGCCACCCTCAGTCAGCTGCAGTTCTTTGGGGATTAACAAGGAGCGAAGCTGCGTTTTAGGCCAGTTCTCCATCTGCGTGTGAAGCACTCAGCCATGAACAAGCCAGAACCGCGGACATTTATGGAAGTGGAAGATGGAAAGTACAGAGATTTTGGGAAATTAGTGAGGCACAGTTCTTCAGTTTGGGAAGGATCAAAATGGGTGAGGGCTCGAAGTATGTCCATCTCTCTGGGTTAGTGCCCGTCATCAGAAGGTTGTGTGTTCAAATCCTGTATTGGGCAGAATGATCATATTACCATTGGGTCCTTGATCAAGGCTCTTAAACCCCAAAAACTGCTTCAGTGGGCTGTGTGTGTGGGGCGGGTTAGGACACTGCCTGTGAGCTGTCGCGGGTTCAAATCCCAGGGTGAACATTGTGATGTCATCATTGGCTCCCTGAACAAGGCCCTTTAACCCCCAGTTACTCCAGGGACTGACTGACCCCACTTTCTCAAAAATAATGCCCATCACTTTGGATGAAACGTCTGCTACATACATAAAATGTAACGTAATGGACGTCAGCTGACCCTGCGCTCTGACCCTGAGCTTCACTGTCACCTCAGCCAGTGTCTCATAGGAGAGTAAGATGGAATATGTAAGTAATGTAGAAACCTTTTGTGCCTATAGTCATGCAAATGCACGTCATTAAAAACATTGTTTCGGGTGGTACCCCTTTTTCATACTGGGGGTTTTCCCTGAAGTTTGTAGAGCTGCCGCTGTTTGCATTAGCTAAATAAGTGGATTTTTATTTATTTATTTTTTAAAAGTGAGATGGTCCAAATTTTGCTTGGGAGATCTGCTATTGCTGAATAATTAAACCTTATTTTTTATGTCTGATACTTTGATGATTTCTGTCACAAAAATAGGCATGCTAAATAATTCAGATAAAATCCATTTTTAATCTCTGTTACTCTGCTTAATGGGGGATAAAAATCTGGGATTTAGAGTTCAGGATCACATGCATAAGCCGCGGTCCTCAGTGCTGATGAAGATACCATGACGGCATGGAACCATCATCAATTAACAATAAGATACAATGAGTCCTCAGAAAGATGGGTGTGTCTAACCCACAGATGCACATATGCTTGTTACACACCTGGGGCTGCATTCGGATGGAGAGACAAAAAGATCTGTGTGTGACAAACACGACTCCATAGCAACCTCTGTGTATATATACTGGTGTTTCCAAGGCGATGTTAAGTTGAAGATTCCATGTTTGGGGTCACAGATCAGCCATGGAGAGAATGGATGATCAAGGTGCTTCAGATATACTATATGGACAGAAGTATTGGGACACACCTCTTAATCATTGAACTCGGGGGTTTCATTCAGACCCATTGCCACAGGTGTATAAAATCAAGCACCTGGCCATGCAGTCAGGTTTACAAATGTTTGTGACAGAATGTGTCATTATGAAGAGCTCAGGGAATTCAAGCGGGGTACTGCCACAGGATGCCACCTTTGCCATAAATCAGTCTGTGAATTTTCTCCCCTGCCAGATATTCCACGGTCAACTGTAAGTGGTATTACTGCAAAGTGGAAGCATTTAGGAACCATAGAAACTCAGCCACAGAGTGTCAGAGCATGTAAAGTAGCAGAGTGGGGTCATCGAGTGCTGAGGCGCATAGCATGTAAAAGTCGCCAACACTCTGACTCAAAAGCTGCAGAGTTCCAAACTTCCCCTGACATTAACCCCACCACAAAAACTGTGTGCTGGGGGCTTCATGGAATGGGTTACCAAGGCCGAACAGCTGCATGCAAGCCTCGCATCACCAAGTACAATGCTAGACGTCAGATGGATTGGTGTAAATCACACTGCCACTGGACTCTGTAGCAGGGAAAATGTGTTCTGTGGAGTGATGACTCGCGCTTCTCTGTCTGGCAGTGTGATGGACGAGTCTGCGTTTGGCGGATGCTGGGGGAACGTTACCTGTCTGACTGCATCATGCCAACTGTAAAGTTTGGTGGAGGAGGGATAATGGTTGTTTTTCAGGGTTTGGTCTATGTCCCTTAGTTCCAGTGCAGGGAACTCTTAATGCTTCAGCATACCAAGACATTTTAGATGATTCTATGCTTCTACCTTTGTGGGAACAGTTTGGGGAAGGCCCTTTTCTGTTCCAGCATTCATGTGCCCCAGTGCACAAAGCAAGGTCCATAAAGACATGGTTGGGTGAGTTTGGTGTAGAAGAACTTGTTTGGCCCACAGAGCACTGACCTCCATCCCATTGAACACCTTTGACCATCACATCCAACATCAGTACCTGACCTCACAAATGCTCTTCTGGATGAGTGGGCAAAAATTCCCACAGATACACTCCGAAATCTTGAGGAAAGCCTTCCCAGAAGAGTGGCAGCTGTTATAGCTGCAAAGGGGGGACCAACTCCATAGTGACACCTAAGAATTTAGAACGGGTTGTCATAAAAGTTCCTGTAGGTGTAATGGCAAGGTGTCCCAGTACTTTTGTCTATATTGTGCATGAGATGGTGAATCGCAACCAGGCCTTTTTGTATCATTGAGCTCTGTGTGGGTTATAGGGAGGCAGTACAGTCACAGGGCTGTTACCACCAGAGCCCCCAGACAGCATGTGGCTGCTGATCTGCAGGAGAACATTTCCGAGGGCCTCTGTGTTCCACACGCCGCCCTTGATGTCCACGATGTGGTTCAGTGGACCTGAAATAAGTAACGTGAGGGCCCCAGGGCTGCGGGTTCAAGGCCAGCGGGTCTGAAGTAGTGTCCCGTTTTAGCGTATTGATGTACCTATTAGGTGCCGGAGGTCTCAGCACCGGGGTTCCCCATGGGCTGTGAAGCACCAGCTTTCTGCTTCAGTGTCCTTCAGTCCCACGTTTCTGCCTAGTGTGACACTGAATATCTTCATCGTGGCCCTGTGGGGGTTCCCCGCCCTGTGGGGGTTCCCCGCCCTGTGGGTCCGTTCAGTTGCTGGCCCATGTTATCTGGAGTACCTCTCCTGGCTGCATAAGTGAGAACTCGAAGACATGTGCCGTCAGCCATTTGGGGACCTGGCCGGCTATCGACGTCCACCCTGGAATGGCGCCGTCAACCAAATATCTGTCTGTCACCTGTGTAATAGCGTGTTGGGTCTAAAAATGCGAAAAGCGCTTTCCAGGATGTTTAAAACATGAGCAATGCTGCAGAATAACGATGTGAGTACAGTTTGTTTGTTTTGGTAGCAAAGGCAGGACTGAGCATCTGGCGAATATGTATCTGCTGATTTATTGTCACAAGCACTTAAGTAGGTTTTATGAGAGATAATAATCATGGGAAATGTGGGGACGTAGAACCACTCAAAACCCAGACGTTAGATGAAAGTTTAAAATGCATGGTTTTGTGTGCATTATTACTGAAATGGGAGGCACAAACAGGCTTGTGAGCTGGCCGATTAAATCTGGGTTATTAGCATAAAACTCATGGGACCCCCTGACCATATTTAAAGGAAAAAAACTCAGCATGCAGGGGGTGTATGGGGAAGGTTTGTGGGGTAATTTATGGGTAATGAGCTTGTGCTGAGTGTGTTTTATTTCCAGGCACCCGAACATCCTCCTCAGCACTTAAAGGCGAGCTTTCTGGCGCCGTAGCCATCTGTACATGAGCTGCGGGGCTCAGGTGCACACCTTGACTTTCCCACAGACCACGCAGACTTTCTGCTGACTCGTTATGTGCTGAGTTGCTGAGCTGGCTGGCAGGCCTCCTCTTCGTTAGCGAGGACCCCTGGCTACTCGGCTGCGGCAGGGGGCTCGGGAGAACCTCGTGGTTTCACCTCCGGGCCTCTTCCTTCTCCGCTGAGAGCTCAGGCTGCTGCTCTAATGAGCTCCTCTCCAGCCTGATACAGAGGTGCTTCTACATCAGTCTAAATCGAGTGGATGTTCTGCTTCCTCCTACCATCCTACCTGGGACAGCTTGTCCATGTCCTTCTTGCGGGTTCTCAAGGGTCACCTGGAGAGCAAGGCTGGGGTGGGGGTAGGTGGATTTGAATATGCCTTTCTCTGATGGCTGTCTTCGAGATGTGTGAGCTACACTGAATGCCTCCTACCATAAAAGGTCAGATAGAGTTAAGAGCCATCTGTGTTTCAACCATTATTCATGTGCAGTGAGAATAAGCTGCGCGCTTTAAAGACCTCCAGCATTAATGTGCGCCCAGTGTGTGCTAGACCCCTGCCAGTCCACATACTGCATGTGCACGTTCTGCATTTACTTTGGTGGGCTTAAAAACCAGAGCCTGCCAGGGATATTGGAGAAGGCAGAGGTCTTCGGTCATTGTGTCCTCGAGGAGATATTCTGGGCATTTTGCTGAGGTCACAAGTGATGTTATAAGTGTGCCTTGCATAAACATTCCTGGGTTAACCAAAGCAGCTCTTGATATAGTATGAAATTTCAAGTCTCATAATGTTTTTCCTGTGACAGTTTTATGCCTGTGGCCAAAGCATAAGAAATAGAGATCTGTCTCCCTGGTGGGTACAGAGGAAAACGGAGCTTTCGGAAGGTACATTTATTTGTTTTGTCTGCGTTTTAACCATGTATCATTTGGATATTTACTTATTTGCAGCTCTGCTTCTGTACTACCCAACAGCCACTGGGCTTTACTCTGCCAGCATCTGCTAATGACACTGTTATATTGGCAAGGCTATTGTCTTGCTGTAGGGTGCAGAGACGTAATGTTGAGCATAAGGATCTGGTTGAAAGGAGCGAAACGTCTTCCTTTATTATGCTGTGGTGTTGTTACAGCATGATGTGAGGGTTCATCCTGCTTTAGGGTTTAGGGTATAGTCTTGTGCAACTTATTTTAAAATAAAATTTGTGATCTTTATATTCTGTTGCGGTTTCAGCATTTTATAGTGATTCTTTTTATATATTATCTGTTTTGTCGAGAATCTCAAATGATGGATTTTCTTTCCGTTGTTAGTCCGCGTTCCATAATGACTGATCCTGCTGGGGGCTTGGAGCCTCCCCCCGGAAGTCTGTCTCAAGGGCCTGAAGACACTGCTACTCTTAGGGTTTTTATCTGCATTCTCCAGGCCTGAATGCTTTTGTTAGGCTAGGAGTGCTTCATGCACTGATGGCTGTTTAGCTTTGGGTTAGTGGTCCTGCCAGTGCAGTCAGAGCTCCTGGTTTGGGGGCTACATCCCTGCCCCCCACCTGCTCTGTTTGCGCTCTTACCTGTCAGTGTCTCTCTCTCCTTCCCCATCCCCTCATCCTGATCCCTTAGTGTCAGTCTCACCTTCTGGGTCCTCATTTCACAACACTTAAATGCTGGCTCTGTCAGCACTTAGGAATTGGGCTTAGACTTTGCTGAAAGTTACTTTTAGCAGCTTTATACAATGCTCTTAGGTCCTACTTTTTGCTAAGATTTTTTTTAACTGTTAAGTCCAAGTGTACGCCCATTCTTAAGACCATTCTTAGGAAGTTTTATGCATACCGGCTCAGATCAGTCACTGGAGCGTGCGAATGCTGGTGCGACAGCCACCTGATAGTTCTGTAGTGAACCCCCATTAATTCCCTGTTTCTTGACCAGTGTTTATGGGGGAGGGAGTGCCGTGGGGCAGGCAGAACTGTTTGTTAGACAGGGCGGCTGGTTCCTGACTTACCACAGTCTGAAGCACTAGTCTATCATCAGATTGGAGGAAGGCGCAGCTCTTAATTTAACTCTGTTTGTGGTGTAATATCAGCTCAAATGTCCTCGCCGTGTGTAGGTTCTGGAGCTCCGTGACGGAGCATGTTCAGGGATCTGCAGCATGTACTGTTCTTCTCACTATTATCTTGGTACTTGAATTTCTCTCCATGTCTAAGTACTGAATAAACGGGATTTAGCTGTTGACGGTTCTGCCATCCGGCCTGCCGGGCGCGCCGACACTCTCCCAGGGTGTTTGTATAAACAGGCAGAGCGTCTCCACGCTCTTGTGCAAACAGACCGGAAATCTGCCCTCTCCCTGAGCCGACGTGCAGTGCCAGGAGAGGGCGGCTCGCTGAACCACCAGCGGGCTCCGGCATGCCGCCAGAACACCGTGGTGAGCCGCACGGTAGATGGCACAGCATGAAGCTTGATCATAAGCAAAAAGTCGACGTACAGCTCAGGATATTGCGCTACTCCACTCTTGGTCTTTATGATTTATGCTTCCTGTCTCATGGACCGCATTGCCTGAGGGCCCTTTTGTGAGTGGGTGACAGTGCTATGTGATGAGTACTCGCCGGAGATGTCGCATTCTATTTCGTGCCTGTGCAGCGTACACGGTTCATGGAGTGTCTGGCTGTGACCGATTGATGGCGGAAGTGAGGGGCTGCTGACGGTAAACAAACCACCCCTTTCTTCTGATGGGGAGACCTGAGGTGCAAGCCGGTGCTCTGACTGTAATTAGAGTTGCTGAGCTCAGCCTCAAGTTACCATGTCGAGGGCTTAGAATCTCCAAGATGGCAAGAGGAAGGGCATCGGGCCCGTGGAGAGGCTCTGAGAAGGCTACACACCACCTCCGAGTCATCGGGCATCAGGCGACTGCCCCCTTGGATCAGAATGTGCCCCGTTTGACCCCATTTAGCATATTCAGGCTAACTGGCCTACCCCATAAATCTACCTCCCCACCCTCCCCTGCAGCCCTCCGCAGTCCCCGTCCCACATGGCTAACCCTCTTCTTCCTGTTACCTGCAGCCTGAAGGTGGAGCCCAAGAGCAAAGGCCTGAAACAGCAGCAGCAACATCACAAGAAGCTGCTGGCTGCCATGTTGTCCCAGGACTCCTTCGAATCGGCCCCAGACTCCCCTGCCTACATTGCAGAGGACGACATCGAAGACGAGGACGAAGCCATGGAGTTACTTGGTAAAAACTGTGGTGTGACACTTGAATCTGAGCGTGGTCCTATGGAATCTGCTCCAGATTTTTAGCTGCTTGGCATCTCCACTGGTTAGCCAAGGGTGTCATGGTCAGGAACTGAGGCATGTCACACCGCTGCTGACATGTGACAGCGAGCACTGGGTCAGCGGTCATCGGTGCATGAGCCTTGACTGCTTTCTCTCTAGCTTTGGGCAGCGTTTGTGGACCATCTATGGTGATGTTGGCTGGGAGGTCTGAGAAAAGATGCCAGATTTGAGATGCCAGAATTTGGGGCCAAATCTCTATGAAACCCTTGACTCCAGATGTTAATATGAGGTGTGCAGGATCTTAGAGAGAAATTGCTTATTACTTCAAAGGAACCCCTTTTGTATGTTATATAGTACATGGAAAGTGCTCTGCACAGTAGTGGAAATGTCACATGGTCAGATGAGTCATCATTCAGCCCATTCCCAAGAGGCTGGGGCCTGCATGTGTGGCCAATGGCAGAAGCCTACAGCCTTGAGTACTGCATTCCCACCGTGAAGATTCTGGCAGCTCTGCTCTGGTGTCAGGTGACTTTTCCTGGCACGGTTTAGGTCCACTCAACCCCTTAGGCAGAATCATCCTCTCGATAGCTTCGGGCTCATTGTGAGTCATCGCATTCATCCTGTGGTAAAGCATTTCTGTCCTGATGGGAGTGCGATTTTTCAGTATGGCAAGGCCAACACTAGAGGGCGTGTTGGGAGTGCGATCTTTCAGGATGGCAGGGCCAACACTAGAGGGCGTGATGGGAGTGTGATCTTTCAGGATGGCCTGGCCAACACTAGAGGGCATGATGGGAGTGCGATCTTTCAGTATGGCCTGGCCAACACTAGAGGGCGTGATGGGAGTGCGATCTTTCAGTATGGCCTGGCCAACACTAGAGGGCATGAGTGCTCACTTAATGGCTTGATGAGCATGAAAACTAAGCAAACCACATGGCTGACTTCATATTTCAACCCAGCTAAACTCTGATGGGTCTGGAAGGACACAGATGGCCTTTTCCATCATTATCATCAGCAGTGTTTGCTGTGCAGATTCTCTCCAGCCGTGATTGGGACACCTGGAGGATCCAAATTGAGGTGTCTGGCTGCTATTTTACAGGCGTGTGCTGACAGAAACCCCTCATATATTATATAGAGCCCTGTTATGCTAGTGTTCTATTTACTTTGGCTGTTAGTAACTGTAGTGTAAAAACTGCAGTACACAGTCTCTCCAGCCATTAAATAATGTAGCCAGAGTCATTCCTTCCATCTCTCTGTTCCTGCTTCATCTTCAAGGGCTCTTTAGAAGCATGGATGTAAGCTTTTTAATGTTGCCATCAGCATTCAGGAATGTAGGTGGAAGGCAGAGACGCAGTACCCAATGCCCCCTGGGAGCTGAGCGTCACAGATCATGGGCTCCCTTGGGGTCGCCTGTGCGTTTACGGAACACCGCATCGCCATACGTCGCGTTTTTCCGGGGATGGGTTTCGCGTGCCAGTTCCCGGCAACCTCCCCGGAGCTGCATCCGGCGAGAAGCACGCCAGCACATCCCGGCCGTCCAGCTGGCAGGGACTCGGGCCCTCAGAAGCTGCAGCCTGGCGCCCCGGCCCAGCGCCCACGAGTGACTGGCATGATTGAGCTGGTGCCGGTGTAACAGCTTCGTAGATCAGGTCAGACGTGGATCTTTATGCTCCTGATGAATAACAGCGTATCTTGGGGCTGATGTGCTATACTGGATGTACTGCAGCTGTGCGCTCATGGATTCCCTCTCCTCTATGATGTCGGTGAATAACTACCCCCCCCCCCCCCCCCCCAAACATACAGAAATCTATTTGAGTGGGATTTTCACTGCACTGTGAATTCAGAAGCCACCCCGCCTTGGCTTCGGATCTAATGGCCTATGAACCCACCTCCTAGTAGATACCACCGTGACTCTGATTGCAGCCAGTCCTGGGGGGTGGAGGGGGTGGATGTCATAAATGTGATCTCACTACACGGGCTTGGCTGGGTTAAGGAAGCCTTTCCCCTCAGAAGCTCTCCCTGCTTTTCTGACTTGCTTGAGGAAGCAGTCACCTTGGGACCGTTGTGGAGTCTGATCGGGTGTCTATACAGATTTACTGATACAGTAAGTGGTGACTGCTTTGGCATTAGTGTGGCCCAGTGCTGGGGGGCGGCACCCCCTAGAGTGAGGATGAGCGTCAGAGTGCCGCCCTGCCTACCCTAGCATGTGCAACATTACACTTTACTGCATATTTTAAGATGGTGCGCAATTTGTACCACTTCATTTTGTTTTATTAATACACCAGGTTCGTTTCTATGGGAAAAATTCAACAACTTTTAGTTCTTGAATAACGAGCGATAATTTGGAACGAATTAGCTCATGAAGTTGAGAACTACAGGTATGTTGCAGGATATAAGCATATTCACAGCAGTGGAGCCTAACAGAGTTGTGTCCCTCTATTTCTTGGGTTAGGGTGCCATCTAGAGGTGTGGATGACTTCAGCTGTTTTTTTTCCTCTGGAAATGAGAAGCAGGTTAGAAGAGGGACTAGAGAAGCTGCTTCTGTCTACATTTCATCTTCCACTTCAGCACGGAAGGAAGTCCAAGTTCATTCTGTTAAAGCAGAATAGCAATCAAAGTCAAGAGCTGGACAGGATGGGATCGGGTGTGTGGAGAGTCCTTCAGTAGGATTTTTCTGCTAGAGGATTGCTGTCATGGACTGAGTCATGATTCCCCTTGGCCAGTGATGGAGTCAGACCTCAGGGTGGCTTGGTCTCTGTTGAAGCGTTGCCAGGGATAGAGCAGGAACCTCCACCGTGCTGTGACTTGGTGTGCTCAGGATTGTTCCAGAAAAACACCGGCATCCAGGTTTGGCATGCCACTTGCCCATCACTGCACTGCACTAATCCCTGTGTGTTTGAGATGGACCGGCGTGCCTCTGTGCATGCTGGGATTAAACAGTCAGAAATGACACCATGAGAAAAAGCTTCCTTAACTTAAGCAAACGTGTTGCTGTCCTTTGGGAAGCCTCTCCCCCTTGTTCTCTCATGATTGGCCGTGTTTACAGAGTGATGATTTCTGATAGTCTGCTTGATCCCCAGGCAGTAGCTTGCTTGGCAAGGTGGTAAGAACGGACCAATCAGGAGTCGATCCACTACCCTCACTGCTAGATCTCTATAACATTTTTGGACCTCTTTGGGAGGGGACAGGGGTCATGACCTCTTGTGAGTAACATGTGCAACGTCATAATTTAAACATAAAAATCGTCTTCGTGAAGTAGCCATATGTATTTTGAATAACTGTATGCCATACAATTGTGGAAAAGTCTGATCTTGCATACCTCTGGACTGAGCTATCAAACTTAATATTACACATGGGTTTCCACACTTTGTCCCTTTTTTGAAAAACAAATGCATTTTATCTTATCTCCACTAGGGGCTCCAGTTTCCAGTGGGTTTTCTGTTACATTTACAAGTAAGTCCTATAATCTCAGCCTGAGTTTGACATCATGATAATTCACCCAAAATGAGGCCTTCAGCTTCCCTGTTCCTGTGTATTTGTCCTCGTATAGCCAGACGGTAACAGGCTGCCGCTGCTCTCAGTGCAGGGTTTAGGAAGCGGCAGAACTCAAGTCTGACTTCCCCGGTTTTGTCACCAGACTGTCCTGTCATTTGATCAGCTGATAAACAGTTGCACATGCTAAGCTGACATTAGGCTGCAGTCTGCAGACTTTGCAGATGCTCAGAAGCTCTGTCCAGCTTCAGACTTCCTCAGCGGTGAAGGTGAATTAACTGGGATTTATGTTAACCTTTCTCTGCTCAAAGACTCCTGCCATTATATATATCAGGTAATAAACCACTAAATAAACAAGTGTCTCTATTGCAGGTTCACATTATACTTCCTGTCACTTTCAATTTGCTCATTTGCGCCACGTTTTAATGAGAGATTTTCCCCGGATATTTCCCTCTGCGGTCAAACGGGGCCACGCGGGCAGTGGCAAAAACAAGTTAATCAGAAGTTCAGCATGTTCCCGAGTTTCAGAGCGAGCCGGTGAGTCAGAGGAGCCGTCCTCAGGATTAGCCAAGAAGTGAGTGAGCGGCCAGCCTGTTCCTATAAGGCCGAGCATGCCCAGCCGGGACTGAGAGCAGGTTAACTTTCAGTCAGGTCTGTCTTTTAAGAGCAGTAAAAATCTATAAAAGGCTTGTGTGTATCCTGCTGAGAAAAGGCATGGAGCCTTAGCGTATGGAGCATTAGCGTATGGAGCATTAGCGTATGGAGCATTAGCGTATGGAGCATTAGCGTGTGGAGCATTAGCGTGTGGAGCATTAGCGTATGGAGCATTAGCGTATGTACAAACAAACGGGCCGCATATAGCCGGTGGTGGTTAATGGGCGGCGGTGCCGGATCTACCATGTCACTCTACCCTGGAGAGGCTGGAGAACAAGCCTAGGATCACTGCTTCCATCTGGGAGGTTCCCCCTCCATCTCTTTGGAGGATTCCCTGAGACTGCATATTTCATCGCCCCCCCCCATACTGTTGAAATATCTGTCCATGTGCAAGACAGATCATATGGGAACTATTAGCACCCCCACCCCATGGTGATTGAGGCCCCCCCGTGTTGCCTGGGCGCAAATCTGGCTGGATTTGATCTGGAATAGGTCAGCACCTTGAACCAGGCTGTGGCATCTGGGTGGTGCCCAGGCAGTGGGTGGTGCCAGAGAGCTTGGGGGGGGTAGCGGTGGCTTCCTTGCTCTGAATGGGACTCGGTGCTCAGCCTGATGTTTTTTGCCCCGTGGGGGCTGCCAGAGTTGACGGTCAACTGTACCCGCCTTCTGATGCCAACCCACCCCAAGGAGTAGGGAGACAGCAGTTTCCATGGTAACGGCCTAAACAAACAATCCAGTGTCACCGGGGTGAACACAGAGTATTGTCTCCCGAGGAGACAATGATGGGCCGTCCACCGGCGGGAAGAGTCTCTGAAG